TGATTGTGCACGGAGAATGTTACACGGAGCGACCACGGAATAAAAGCGGAGGGCTTTAATGCGTCATTAGGTAACCATGGAGTCTCTATAGCAACTATTTAAAGTACAACAATGACGAAGAAGACTACTTATAAAAACTATGGCTACAGAAAGAGACATTGCTCGCTTGTTAAATGAAGAAATAGGTCCTCGAGACAGTGACTACGTTGCTTCAGTTCTTGGGGACTACTTTTGTGATGAAACTAGTGGTAAGCTTATTCATAACACTGTTTACATACTAACTGTGAATAGCGGTTAGCTATCACAACAATGACATTCCATCACCTGTATAAATGCACAATGTTATTATATTAAACTTAGTTATACAGTGTATTTGTTAATTGATAGAGACAGACTATGAAGCAGTAGAAGATATGGAAGAAGAAGAGGTAGAGGAAGGGAAAGAAGAAGAGAAAGAGACAAAAGATTGTGATGAAGATATTAATCCACCACTGTTTGATCCAGAGGTGGCTGTGGAGCTACAAGTATCAGATCTTGATTTAGAATCAGCGATGCCTGATGCTCCAGCTACTTCAACTACTCACTCTGGTGATGACATGAGAATGGAAGACCTACAGGAGGAAGAAGAATTATCAAAGTTCTTTGAACATGGATGTGGTTGCTCAGATAATTGCTATGCACTGTTCAGTCACTCTTACATAAAAACATATAGATGTGACATACAAGCCATGGCAAAGCCTGTTCAAGAAATTGCTATTATGAGTCAAATGGCAGCAACATCTACCATGGGGGGATTGTCGACTGGCAACCACAGGAGACAGAAAGAGAGAAAGAGGCAATTTTTTACGTTCATGCATCAAGGTCATAAGGTTTGTAACTATGAGTGACACAACACAAAATTAATCGTTTTTCAACTAGATATGTAGAGTAACATTTCTGAAGCTACATGCATGTGGCAAAAGCAGGTTTGAGGAAATCATAAAAACTACAGAATGAATGGATTAATACCAAGGTATGAATGGACTTACAAATTCAATGTTATGTACTTAACTTTATTAGAGTTCACGGAAATGCTGGAAAGACACCAAACCATGCTTTGACTTATGATGATATTCTCCGGGTTGTTGCTTTCATCAGAAATTACGCTGAAGTCCATGGAATCAGTCTTTCTGGAAGAATATCTGGAATGAAAAGTTACGAGAATAAGAAGTTCTTACCATGCAGTACATCTAAAAGGCAGGTATACTTAGAGTATGCGGAATCATGTGAAGGGCTTTATGTCAAAGCATGTGCTGAAACAACATTCAACATGTTGTGGCGACACTACCTGCCTTATATTGAAAAAATGAAGCCTATGTCTGACTTGTGTGCCACTTGTAAAGAGATAAGTGGACTGATTATAAGAAGTGCTAACATGCAATCAGATGAAAGGATAACTGAGGTAAGTCAGTATTGTAATAACACAAGTATTATTTAGAATTTTCAGGCAATGCAAAAGGCACTAGATCACAGAAGTCTTGTTAAAAAGGAAAGGGAGTACTATAAGGATGTATTAAAAGAGGCACAATTATTGTTAAAAAGGCTGTATACTGATGCAGCAAACAATTACAATCCCCCACTAACAAGGCCACTTGCTATGTTAAATATTGTAGCACATTATAGCTTCGATTATGCTCAACAGGTAACATTTTATGATAATTATGAAAGTGTATCTAGCTTACTTACTTTTTTAAAGGTTCACTATCCTTCAAGTCCACTACAAGCAGGTCCAATTTATTTTCTTACTCCCAGGAAATGTGGCATATTTGGCGTGTGCTGTGAAGCTATCCCTCAGCAGGTTAATTTCTTGATCCATGAATCATTCGACACTGGTAAAGGGGCAAATCCTGTCATAAGCATGGTACATTTTTATTTGAAGAATCATGGCCTCAACTCAGTCAGTATCCATTTCAATGCTGACAACTGCACAGGGCAAAATAAAAATAATACAGTTATTCAAGTAAGTATATTACATGCACAATAATGAACATTTTAAATGTAATTGTTTATTTATTTTAGCACCTCTTATGGAGAGTCATGACAGGACTCAATGCATCCATTTCAATATCCTTTCTGCCAGTTGGACACACAAAATTTTCTCCAGACTGGTGCTTCGGACTATTAAAGCAAAAATTCCGTAAAGCAGAGGTGGACTCATTGGATGACTTCATTCAAGTTGTAGAACAATCATCTGCTGTGAACAAAGCCCAACCAGTAGGAAGTAGCAATGGTGAACTCATTGTAGAAACACTTGACTGGTGTAGTTACTTTGCTACATTATTCAAGAAAATAAAAGGCATCAAAGGCTTTCAACACTTTGTTGTAAATGCGACCTCAACTGGTGTAGTTGCAGCCAGACAAGCTGTAGATGGTCCAGTCACACAATTCAATTTGCTGAAGGAGGACGCTCAAATAATGGAAGATGAACTACCTAATATATTACCACCAAAGGGTATGTCAACTGAAAGGAAATGGTACCTTTACGAAAAGATAAGATCGTTTTGCAGATACGAATGTAAAGATGTAACCTGCCCATTCCTGATGCACCTCGACCAACAGGATCATCTCGACAATCAACTCCAGGTGTAGATAATCCACCAGACCTTGCAATGGAGATTGAAGTACCACATTCTCCAAGGCAATCTCTAGAACCACCTGCAACACAAAGAAAATGTGGTAATTGTGGTCAATTTGGTCATAATAGAAGAACTTGTCCATGTAATCAGTAAATGAATAACAGAAAGAGTTTGTGTAATGCACATACTATTGATCCCCTTTCAACAGGAGTGGAACTAGTTTGAATGCCAAACATTCAAACTATTGATCCCCTGAAACAGGAGTGGAACTAGTTTGAATGCCAAATATTCAAACTATTGATCCCCTAAAAGAGAGGAACTCGTTTGTAACGCTAAGACATACAAACTATGGATCCCCTTTTTTAAAACAATGGTGTGGAACTAGTATGTGCGTGAGACGTCAACATAAACACAAACACTCAGTTTTGTTTAAAATTTACTAACTCAAAAGGGAAGGCTGAGAGAAAGTTAGTCTCGGCTGAGAGAAAGTTAGTCTCAAAGTTATCATGCAGGTGATATGTGTTTATCTTTACAGGTGAGAGGACTGATGATAAAAATGTGTGGGAGAAGAATACCGAAATAGAAGTCATTGCGTCATTCACAGCCAATCAAAGAACACCAAGTGTCAACTGTGACCTTTAGGATATAAAATAAGACACCTGAAACTGTAAGTTCAAAATCAAAAAGTAATGGCTGCCCCAATAGAGGATGTCCTCATTGAGGTCCATCCATCCGATGGTAAGTTGGGAATGTGTAACCCAATAGTG